GCCCCTGTTTATACGCGAATTTGAATTTCGAACATCAATTTCAAACTAAATTCGACCTTATATATTGTGACGTCACAGTCCAGTCTTCATACATCTAGTATACGAATGTTCTTTATATGAAAATGATCTTTATATATATGTAATAAGGTCGTTATTTGTATGTATTATATTCGAGTTGGTTCCAAGTATCGATCGGGTTCCGAACCGACCAATCAGAGCGCATCGTGAACCAAGATGGCCGCCAGGGCCGGTCTCCCTCTAATTTATTACTTATTGTATGGGAACATTAATCTTTTTCCTTTTATTAATGGTTCCCGATGTTTTTATTTTAATGAAAACCGCGGGAAGCCATCTTGGACGGACGGATCGATTACAGATTTTAACTTGTATATATGTAAGTAAATACTCCTGGATTCATTTTAATGTAACTTGTGTAATCTATAGTTTGTAATAAGGAGTTTTAATTTTCTTAAGTATGTAGTAAGGCTTAAAGTAAAATAATTTTCATACACTCTCAATATGAAACTATTACATTAAAAATTCAATTCGAAGTTATTTAAAAACAAAAATATACAATATTTTATTTGAGTGTAAATTCAAAATTTTTGAGAAAATCGTTAATATACAAATACATAACCTCTCTCTACGCAATCAATTAAAAACATATGACAACCAATAGAAAAATATATTTATTTCCAAAGGATTTAAACTACATATAACTTGATATTTACTGTATTAATAATAAAAGAAAGAAATCTTTAAAGATTTCACTCTCTAAAATCTATATAGATTTCAATTATCCAAATCTCTTAAGATTTCCTTACACGTACTAGTTCCACACGTAGCGATGTCAAGTCTGATGAAGAGATCACAATACATCAATAACATTACCAGCTGATAATAATAATATAATATTCATATATATAACTTCTTCTTCTTCCTGGCAATTTCCCAGCTTTAGCCAGGGTCTGCCTCATTCAATTTTAGTTTAATTTAAATGAATAAGCCTTAGAACTCATTATTTCATAAATTGTATATAAATATCTTTTAGAAAATAATTGTTTCATTTAACTATGTAATTTTCAATATAATATTCAAAAGACTGGACATATTTTGATCAAACTTTCGCTGTTTAGACAACGAATATGAAGATTCAAAACTAATATTGTCAATAAAAATCAAGTTCTAATATACATAGAAAATAATATATATATTTTAAGAATGATTTTGGTACAAATACATACATATAAAGAAAAAAATCTATTTTACGTATATATATTAGAAACTATAGAAAATAACTAAAGATAGGCATTTAGTTATAAAAAAATTTGAAAATAATAAAATGAAAATAACTCAATATAAAAATATCAGACAGAGTCGCGGTAAAAATATTACATTAAGCATACATGTATGTTTGTATGACTGAAACACGAAAACTATGTAAAAATCAAAACTAATATTATAAATGCGAAAGTAACTCTGTCTGTCTGTCTGTTACGCTTTCACGCCTAAACCACTGAACTGATTTTAATGAAAGGTACAGACATAGAGTTGACCTTGAGAAAGAACATAGGATAGTTTTTATTCCAGACTTTTGAAAGGTTCTCTTATACTATACCAATCGCTTCTAAGTCGGTTAAATCCAAAAAATATCGAACAAATGGAATTTAATACAAAAAAATCACATCCAATGTAACACAAAGGCGTCGTTCGTAAAACGTATTAACATATTTCAAAGAGCCACATCAAAATCTGTACAGCCGGCGCATAATGGACGCATTGTTGGTGAGTTATGATTAATATACTATAGAGATGTCTCAATTCCCAACAGTATTGGGACCATTAATTATTTATATACCTATATAAGGCAGGCCCTGGCTATAGCTGGGAAATTGCCAGGTAGAAGAAGATACCTATATATGGAGGATTTAAAATCTTTATTTGTATTGAAATATATATACATATATGTGTGTGTATTTAAACCAATTCAGAGAATTAAAGTTATTGTTAAATTTCGTTCGTTTTGTATTTAAATTATGAATGAATAGATTTATTTTTCTCTATTATAAACTATTTAATGGAAGAGTTTTACGATAATCGGTACAGTATACATAGATAGGTACTTATATATTTTATTTATGTAAAAATGTATTAACATAATAATTATTTGAAATGTTGGTATTTATTCTTTTGCTTATCCGCTAATAAAAAGAATTGCTAAGTCGATTTCAATGCTGTTTTCAATATTATTGTGTTCTTTAAAAATAAAAACTGTTAGGTAGGATATATTTAACCTAATTACGAGTGGAAAATAATTAACGAAATAATTGCTATACCCGAATTGGTGGTGGTTTATTTACATTGTGTTAAAACCGAAAATAAATATACCTACCAATAATTTAAATATTATACGATACAGATACAGACATACAATTTTTATATATATAAAATCCGTGTTATCTATAGTACCTACTGTGTGTTCCTCAAGTATATACAAAGGACGCCAGGATACATTATATACTGTTCTATTCCTATATCTGAGCTATATGACTGTAAAGTTTCATCCAAATCCGTTCAGTACATTTAACTAGAAAGAGGAACATACATACATACACAAAGTTTGACATATATAAAATTAGTTGCGAAGTAAAATTATATATAATAAAGTCGTGTTAGTTACACTATATATAACTCTAACGACTGTACCGATATGGATGAAGATTGGTGGAGAGATAGATTAGAACATAGAAAGGACATAGGATATTTAATACTGTTCGATAGAAACAGAAAAATACTTAATAAATTCCAATATTTACAGACAGATATACATATATTACTAATGAAGAAATTAACGACGAAGTTGAACACAAACTAGTAATTAATACATATGTATTTAATTTTCATCTTAAGCTTGTATATATATATCCTGTACCGATTCTGATCAGACTCGAGCCCCACAATAGAATAGCTGAGTCATATGACTAATGACGCGCCCCGGAGGGTGCCGGTCCTTACCGAAAAATATGTTTCCTATTGTAATTTAAACAATATTTTTTATATATCACCATTTAATTAAATGTCTTGAAGAAAAAATGTATTAGTTTTTCATATGAATTAAATTATATACATATATAATACAAAAAAGATATTTTTTTAACATATAAATTATATACCATTATAAGTTGATACTTGGATACATATAACATATACGTAGATATAGCTCAAGTTAGTCTGGTAGCAAAAATGCATTTTTTGGTACTAAATATATATATTTTTTTATAGAAATTCACAAAAGGGGAACGCCGACATAATAATTACTTAGAATAAGGTCGATGACTTTGCTATTTGAAACAGCAACCAAATTATATAGAACCCATCTTAAATAATATTATTGTGTACGCATAGCTCTATTTATGCTGGAAACTAGTTTTAAAAACCAAATTAAAATGAACTATATGTACGTATATTTAATATAAATCAAAGTTTCAACTTAAAATGGAATTTTGCTTATAATATGCAGCCGAAAACGTGTCCTTCAAGAAATCTAAAAAGGTAAATCGACTTTAATATTTTAAGTTCAAAATATTAAAATGATGAGGTTTGAATAAAAGGATAGATCATTTTAGAGATAAAACTAATTTGTATACTATTAGTCGTAATTATAATAAAAAATACGTTAAAAAATATTTTCTTATCTTTAAAAAAACTAACAAAATTATGTATATTTAAATTTTTGTGTAAAATTTTACGTCAATTGAAAACCAGTCAATTGAATAATGTTACTGACCAAACTACTTTTAGGTATTATCGAAGAAAATAATCCCTACTAATATTATAAATGCAAAAGTAACTCTGTCTGTCTGTCTGTTACGCTTTCACGACTAAACCACTGAACTGATTTTAATGAAATTCGGTACAGACATAGAGTTGACCTTGAGAAAGAACATAGGATAGTTTTTATCCCAGACTTTTGAAAGGTTCTCTTGGAAACGCGATATAACCGAACTCCACGCGGGCGAAGCTGCGGGCGGAAAGCTAGTTGAGTTATAAAGAAGAAAAAACCGTTTTAATTTGATTCCTAGTAGATTTATATTTTAATTTATGTATATATATTAGGTTCTTCTAATTCGTAAGGAAATTATACAGTGGTTAATATATACATAGATTTATAAGAGTATTTAGACATCACTGATTAATGCATTCCCAAAGAGGGTTGATGTCAGGCAGGCGGCCGGTCGTAAAAACAATTAGCCAAAACTATTCACAACATGTGAGGCAGACCCTGGCTAAAGCTGGGAAATTGCCAGGTCGAAGAAGAAGTGATTTTAGATTTCAGTACAATTTTTTTTAATATTTATGAAACCAAATATATGTATGTATATCAAACAGTAAGTCCTAAACTAACAATATAATTTTCAAGTATCCCTAATAGTATCTGTAATGTATACACCCTAATATAAGCTATACATCCTGTAGGGTGCGACGACGAGGGTGACACCCCTCGAGAATCACGATAAGTGGTATATATATACAATTTTTATTATATTAATATTTCCTTTTTATATAGGTATAAGTGTTGTATATATGATAGAAATTTGACTAAGGAAGTTTTCAGACGTTAAAACTAAAAGTATTGATTTTTTTAATTGTTTTTAATAGAAAGTCTATAGCATCATCTCACATGGAGAAGGTTTGAGCATTAATCACCACGCTCGCTCAAGACGGGTTGGTGATTTCAAACTTATAATTTGATATAAGTCCATGTTTCCTCACGATGTTTTCCTTCATTAATCACTGATGTCTAAATACTCTTATAAAGTACATATGACTAGCAACATCACTTGTACTTGCTAGGATCGAACCAACCCTCATGCATGAGAGACGGGTCTTTAAGTACTAGGACTACGAATTTTTTACAAGTCTATATATTTAAAGATAAAAGGTACTTACCGTTATATATATGTATATATAAAGATAATAAAAGATAAAAGATTACTCACCAGTCTCAGTATCCACTGTATACGAGAGTCCGGCCCATGGATCATCCTGAACAAAAAATGATAAAACTCTTTACAGTACATACCTATAGTCGGTGATAGTACAAATCCTCGTAACTATCATTGAATAACTCCAAGTATCTACATTGGAAGCAAATTATCAGAAGAAAGTTTAAGCTGAAATATTTTATATATTAATGACTTTTAAGGTAATTTTTTCACAATTAATAATAAATTAAACACTAAATAATCTTCTATATATATAAAAATGGATTGCTGTTCCTTAGTCTCGCTAAAACTCGAGAACAGCTGAACGGATTTATCTTATGTTAGTCTTGAAATGTTCGTGGAGGTTCAGGGAAGGTATAAAAGCTGAAAAAAATTGATTCATTACTGGGAAAACCATAAAAACAGCCCTTTTCTATTTCCCATACAAACGTTTTTTTTGACATTAGATTTGACAACTAACTAATATGTCAATCATTCTGTCGCACTTCAAAATACGGAAATTTATGGCTTACAGGTAAACTCCAAAAATGTTAATAAATAAACATAACATATATTTCTTGATTATAGGACGATACGAAGTTCGCCGGGTCTTCTAGTTAGTATATAAAATATTTCAGTATAAACTTTCTTCTGATAATCTGCTTCCAATGTAGATACGTGGAATTATACAATGATAGTTACGAGGATTTGTACTATCACCGACAATATGTATACTTCATGTGTGTGTGTGTGTGTGTGTGTGTGTGTGTGTGTGTGTGTGTGTGTGTGTGTGTGTGTGTGTGTGTGTGTGTGTGTGTCAGTTACCTCCTTCTCATCCAGGAGAGTCGCCTTAACCTTTTCTATCTGTTCCTGTTTGGTCTTCAAGTCTTCGGATACGTTCACTTTGGTCGCATGTGGGCCATCCTTAATATATATAAAAAAACATATATATATATATACTAATATTTAAATAAAAAAACTCTACTATATATATTATTTAGAAAATTAGATTCCCGTCTGTTTTTATATATAGAAAAGAAAGTCGTGTTAATTACACTATTTATAACTCTAACGACTGTACGGATATGGATGGAGATTGGCGGAGAGATAGATTAGAACATAGAAAGGACATAGGATACTTTACATACGATTGAAAAACAAAATAATAAGTTGATCAAATATAGAATCTTTTTATCTACTGTCTTTAATGAGGAATAGAGTTCGCATGGTCAGATATACATTTCAAATTACGATTAATTCAGACGAAGTCGGGGGCAAAAACTAATACATATCTATTCCATACAAAATTGTAACGAAAATCTTAAATAAGAAAAAAAATTCATTAAAAGTCGTATACAAAAATTGCCTAAACAAAATCTGATAAAACTTTATATGATGTTACACTCACCATATGGAGAGGATCCTCCAAGGAGAAGCCCATGTCGACATCTTGCTTCCACAACACCTCGATAAGGTTCATATCCTGGACAAACAAACATACATATAAATATAATATACTAGCTGCGTCCCGCGGTGTTACTTGATTTCCGGGATGTAAAGTAGCCTATGTCCTATTCCTGGACGTCAGCTTCCTGTATACAAAATTTAATCAAAATCGGTTCAACCGTTTGAGAGTGAAGAAGTAACAAACATACACACACTCACAAACTTTCGCAATTATAATATTAGTAGGATTAAATTAAATCATAAGTATGAGAAACAATACAAAATCCTCAAAGATATTTGTGTGTTTGCCTCTAGACCAGACATATTTCTATATTTTCGTATTTTAAATGATTATAGAGCTTACGGTGGCTTGGGAAACCAACATCCCCAAAGACCATACCATCAAGGTCAACAAATATTACGAGCTCACTAACGTACTAACTCGAAATAGGTTCGTAGTAGATTTGTACGCGGTAGAGGTGGGAGCGAGAGGTATAACAGATAAATCTCTCTACAACCTACTGAAAGACTTGGGCCTGTCCAGAACTAACATTAATACATTCTTGGAACGTACGTCAAAGGCAGCCCTAGTAGGTTTCAAATTAGGTAGAGAGAGGAGCTTGTACGGTGTAGGTGATCGTTTAACGTTAGATAGGGTCCCTTAAACCTACTCCTGGGTCACAAGTACCAGTCACTGTTGAAGCTCCTCTCACTACAACGATGGACCCGACACACGCACCGTGAATACATGGAATGATGAGAGGATTCGTCTCTCTATATATATTAAACCTACACCTGGGTCACAAGTCCCAGTCACTGTTGAAGCTCCTCTCACTACAACGATGGACCCGACACACGCACCGTGAATACATGGAATGATGAGAGGATTCGTCTCTCTATATATATTAAACCTACACCTGGGTCACAAGTCACAGTCACTGTTGAAGCTCCTCTCACTACAACGATGGACCCGACACACGCACCGTGAATACATGGAATGATGAGAGGATTCGTCTCTCTATATATATTAAACCTACACCTGGGTCACAAGTCCCAGTCACTGTTGAAGCTCCTCTCACTACAACGATGGACCCGACACACGCACCGTGAATACATGGAATGATGAGAGGATTCGTCTCTCTATATATATTAAACCTACACCTGGGTCACAAGTCCCAGTCACTGTTGAAGCTCCTCTCACTACAACGATGGACCCGACACACGCACCGTGAATACATGGAATGATGAGAGGATTCGTCTCTCTATATATATTAAACCTACACCTGGGTCACAAGTCCCAGTCACTGTTGAAGCTCCTCTCACTACAACGATGGACCCGACACACGCACCGTGAATACATGGAATGATGAGAGGATTCGTCTCTCTATATATATTAAACCTACACCTGGGTCACAAGTCCCAGTCACTGTTGAAGCTCCTCTCACTACAACGATGGACCCGACACACGCACCGTGAATACATGGAATGATGAGAGGATTCGTCTCTCTATATATATTAAACCTACACCTGGGTCACAAGTCCCAGTCACTGTTGAAGCTCCTCTCACTACAACGATGGACCCGACACACGCACCGTGAATACATGGAATGATGAGAGGATTCGTCTCTCTATATATATTAAACCTACACCTGGGTCACAAGTACCAGTCACTGTTGAAGCTCCTCTCACTACAACGATGGACCCGACACACGCACCGTGAATACATGGAATGATGAGAGGATTCGTCTCTCTATATATATTAAACCTACACCTGGGTCACAAGTACCAGTCACTGTTGAAGCTCCTCTCACTACAACGATGGACCCGACACACGCACCGTGAATACATGGAATGATGAGAGGATTCGTCTCTCTATATATATTAAACCTACACCTGGGTCACAAGTCCCAGTCACTGTTGAAGCTCCTCTCACTACAACGATGGACCCGACACACGCACCGTGAATACATGGAATGATGAGAGGATTCGTCTCTCTATATATATTAAACCTACACCTGGGTCACAAGTCCCAGTCACTGTTGAAGCTCCTCTCACTACAACGATGGACCCGACACACGCACCGTGAATACATGGAATGATGAGAGGATTCGTCTCTCTATATATATATGTATGTACAATCGTGTCTAATAGAGTTAAATGGTAAAAATATATTTATACTTTTTATTACGACGAATTCGCAATAAAATAACTGCTATAGGTACCCATTTTAGTGAAACTCAAACAAAAGATTATCAAATTACTTTGAACTATATGCACCTATCATCATGGGGGCTATTCAACTAAGTATTATGGTCGTAAAATTTTGTGAATGAAATTATTTTCAACCGACTGCGAACTAAAAGAGGAGTATTGTATTTATATTATCAGCTGGTGATGTTATTGATGATGTATTGTGATCTCTTCATCAGTCTGGACATCGCTACGAGTGGAACTAGTACGAATAAGGAAATATAAACAGATTTGGATGATTGAAATCTATATAGATTTTGAATATTTTCAACGTTACATCATTATGTAAATCTTAATACATTTGAAACACATAAAGCGCAAAAATTTTAACAGATTTAGTATATTAAGTATGACATAATCAAAATCTTAACAGATTTTAAACCTCATTAAAAACTGATTATAATATAAGTCTATAATTGTCTCAAAACAAATATTTTTTCATATTTAAAAATATTACGTATTTCGCAAATCATTCTTATGTCAAAATAATTAATAATTTCACCTGGAAATAGATTTTATAATCCATTCACAATAAGTACAGACGTACAAGACGTGACGATAGAAAAACATCTGTATTATATATATAAAAGAAAGTCGTGTTAGTTACACTATTTATAACTCTAACGACTGTACGGGTTTGGATGGAGATTGGTGGAGAGATAGATTAGAACATAGAAAGGACATAGGATACTTTACATACGATTGAACAAGAAAATATATCCCTAATAATATTATAAATGCGAAAGTAACTCTGTCTGTCTGTTACGCTTTCACGCCTAAACCACTGAACTGATTTTAATGAGTACAGACATAGAGTTGACCTTGAGAAAGAACATAGGATAGTTTTTATCACAGACTTTTGAAAGGTTCTCTTGTAAACGCGATATAACCGAACTCCACGCGGGTGAAGCTGCGGTCGGAAAGCTAGTATAGTATATAGTTATTATATGTAGTTTAAGACACGTCTGTCTGTATGAGCGGCGCGTGTTCAGTGACGCGCGCTCTCTCGTACGAGCGGCGATATTAATATAACACGGACGAAGACGCGGGCAACAGATAGTATATTAATACTCTTGCATACATATTAATATAATTCAAACATTAAACCGACGCCATTTTGAGTGGATCAAAACCAAAAACATATATACATACAAATATCATACTAATATATATACAAATAAAGTTCATTTTCATATAAAATGTTACAAATAAATTGTTTTTCAAATGTAAACTTCTAGAAAGTTCTATGTTTAATATCATATATATGTAATTTTAAACCTTATTCCTTAATATTAGGGTCGTATTTCGTATGTATTGTATTTTTAATTACATGATTACATTTCCCCACGCATCGGGATCCCAATAATTAGGCCCTTTTTTTGTAGCTATATGCTATAATGTTTTACCGACATCACAATAATAGGTTATGTATTATGTGTGTATTCTATTATATATTTTTTATTATTATTTAAATAAATTAAACTTCAATACATTAAAATCATTTTGATATGTACATTGTTTGGTTAACCGCAAAAAGACTTGGTTAAAATTTAACACTATATATCAAACATACGTCAATTTGATGATTAAATAAACTGTTGAAGGATAATGTAGAAAAATCATAAGTTTTCAACGAAAATCTTTAAATTATTTTACAAAATTAATCACTCAAATCAAATATATTAATTCACAAGAGGCGCCATCTAGCCAATATTAAGACAAATCTACGAACTATAATATAGGTGGCGCTATGCGTCAAAATATTATATGGTGCTCGCGAAGTCACTCCGCTACTCGCCGATAGATGGCGCTGTTCACAATTTAGTGAATATAGTTACGTCACGATTTCTATATAATTTAGCTAGAAAAATAGTAAGAAATATTTAAAAATTTAATTAAAAAAATATTCCTTTATCTTTGACAATATAGATAAACATGATTAAATGACAATTGAAGAACATTTATTGATGTGATAATAAAACGATTTATTATTACGTATGACGGTCACTGCAAGCAATGATTCATAGTATTTAGTCATCATATTAATTCTAATTTCCACCGATAGATGGCGTTGTAACAAAACCGCCAACCTTCTAGAACATGTGATCAAAGATTAGTCAAGGTCACGGGCGGTCAAGGCCCGAAAATTATATGCGTATTAAGACAGTTTACAAACTCGTGTGTTTATAATGTTATATATATACTTATATACTATATATATGTATAATTGATGTTGCTTTGTTAGTAAGAAACTACGTAATATAATGAAAATCTTGAAAACATCATTCATTCTTCGCCGCTTACTTTGTTTATACTTAGAATATAATTTTTAGACAAAGAAATATTACTATTTCGTATACATGAAAACTATCTTAATATCAAGCATAATCAATAAATATAATATCTAATAATTATCATGAAAAACATGAAATAATGAAGTTAATGTACGATTATTTTATAATTTTTACGTAAAAACTTAGACGCTACATTGTTGGACGCCATTTCATAAGCCAATGAAAATCGAAAGTAGCAGTCAGGCACACGTGTTGGGTAATTACCAATAAGCATCTAATTGATTATAAAATTGAATATTTTCCAATTACATTCAACAACAACAACGAAAATAAAACAATAATGTTCTAATATATTCTCTCGATGAGCAAAAAACAACCAATCACGTATCGATTACATTCGTCATTATACTCTAAAACCCCATCACGTATAAAAATACAATTTTAATTATTTTAAAATACACAGAAAAACACAAGTTGTGACTCTCATCGT